ATAGAATGCCAATTTAATAGAAGAAAGTATTCTTGCATTGAGGGAGTACTTGAGTGGAGGCCCAATGTCCTTCTGCTACCTTAATACTAAACCTAATATAGGCACATAGATCTATTTCCCCATCCTCATATATGAATATATTTGCCTATGTACATGTCTTTATTTAGACCTCTATAAATGCCCTTTGCCGCCCAGCTCTTTCCTCTATTTTCCTTGACTTTCCTCCTGTCCCACTATCATGCTCAGTTCCCACCAGGGTTTCAGCCATTCCTCTTTGTTACAGTACCCTTGATCATGCCCTACCAGGCCCCCCACACCCACCTCACCACCAATTTGGATCACTTGTTGTTCTCTTGTCCCTGGGTTTCTTAACACCACTTCCTTTCCCCCCCTGATACACATCCTTCCCGAGTTTAAACCATGCATTATTCCCTTGTTATTTTCACACATCTGCCTCTTGATCATGTACAAGTTCTGCATGAGCACAATGAAGTGTTCTGGAATTTCCATTCTCAAGGTTATCCATAGTTTGTGATGATCCATAGTTAGTTGAATGCCGTGGCGTAGTAAAAAAAACACATAAACTGTCTTCTAGTCAGTATTATAACTGCTGGTATTTTGCGAAAAACAAAAAGCCACTAGAATCAGGAAGGACCTAATTAGAAATACCACATAACTAATATCTGTATGGACAACATTGTATGTGGGATTTTGCATGTTTCACCTCTGTCTTGGGTAAGTCTCCCCTTAGGAAGGTTTGCCGTTTTCATTTCTTGATTTCTTTGTTTGAATCTGTGGTCAGAGGCTCCAGATGAAATGAATGCGTGTGTTTGTTTACACATCTCCTTCCTTTATTTTCTTGTCCTTGGTCAGGCAGAGAGTGAGGCATCTGCATTTGGTAACCAGGCTGAGGTGTACACACACACACACACACACACACACACTGAAAAAATGCTTCGGTCCAGGGGTCACTCTCATAAACTTATGTTAGAAACTCAGTAGGCCTGGGACACATTTGTGTCCTTTTTTCGTTCTGCATGATTTGCTTCTCAGTCTACAGGGTTCCTCTTCCTCATAGCAGCATCTGCGCATTCCAGGAACAATGGCAATATGCTTGGCACTCGGGCTTTTTAAAAAAAATCATTTTATTAGGAGCTCATACAACTCTTATCACAATTCATACACACATCAATTGTGTAAAGCGCATTTGTACATTCATTGCCCTCATCATTCTCAAAACATTTCCTCTCCACTTAGGCCCTCGGGCTTTTATCCCGGGCTCGCTACAGAGGAGTTTCCAGGATCCAAAATTACATTAAAGATGATTACAAGCAATTTCAATGTTTTCAGAGGAGACATTGTATTCTACATTACCATCTAAATTCTAGAGATTCCAAAGATCCTGCTATGAGGATTGGAATTTGAGGCCTAACAATCCCTTAAAGGTATAAGTATTGACAGCAATGCTTTGAGATACTTACCAATATGGGATGATATAAGGAATCACTGCGTGGCCACACACCGAAGCCACCGTGACAATGTGACCATGGTTTTGCTTCATCATTGGTGGAAGAACGGCTTTTGTGATCTTAAGGATAATTGTAGAATGAAGAGAAACAAGAGCATAAGCAAATCAAGTAGTTGTCTTTTTGTTAATGAGGTACAGCATTTGAAACATTTGTAGTGAAATGAAAAGCACACACAAACCCCGTGGTTACATCTATAGGAATGATAGAAATCAAAAGTCAAACATGTTATTGGTTGAAGCTAATATTAAGGCCTATATACTATGACCACAGACCAAGAACTCATTCTAGTTATTTCCACTTCTTCCTTCAGAAAGACTCAGATATCTCCCTTCTGGATGTACCATTCAAACAATATGAAGGGAAAACATCGCAAGAATTCCCTATGGTAATCCGGTATCTTTCAATTTTTTGGTTTGGAGCTTTATCATTCCATTTAGAGGGGTTGATGCCCTGTGTACGTCCACCCAGACGTCCGAGCTGGATAAACCCTGCCTTCTGCACTGATCCACCCTCACTACGCTTCTTGATCAGCTTTAGCATCTCCTTATTTTATATAGCGGGAGGCCTGGTGCTGGAATGATTACACACTGGGCTGCTAACAGCAAGGTCCGCAGTAAGAAACCAGTAGCCACCCCTGCATGAGAAAGACAGGACTTTCTTCTCCCGTAAAGAACGAGTCTCCGAAACTCACAGGGGCACCTCTAGTCTGTTTCACAGGGTTGCTATGAGTCAGACGTGACATGATGGCAGTGAACTTGGTTTGGTTTTTATTTTAAACAGTTGGAACCCTCATGGTGTACCGGATTATGAATGAAGCTGCTAACTGCTAGCTCAGCAGTTTGAGACCGCTAGCCACTCCACCCTAGAAAGACAAGGCTTTCTATGTCCAGAAAGAGTTACAGTCTTGGAAACTCACAGGGCCATGTTTACCCTGTCCTACAGGGTCACTATGAGTTGGCATCAACTCCATGGCAGTGAGTTAGAGTTTTTCAAAAATTTATTTTCAATAATGTGAATTATGTAGTAATGCTACAGAAAACAAAGTATTTCTTTTCCAAAAAGCTGTACTTATTGTGAAGAACATCAATAATATTTTTCAACATTTTATAGACCTTTGCATCTTTTATAATTCCATGAGACTCAGAACCAACAAGCCACAGAAAAAGACAAACGTGCAAACAACCACATTTGCTGCTGTTGAGTCAATTCGGACTCCCAGTGATTGTGTAGGAGAGAGAGGAACCGTCCCAGAGAGCTTCCAAGGCTGTCATCTCTACCGCAGCAGACTGCCTCGTCTCTCTCTCTCACACGCCAACCTTTCACTTAGCAGCTGATTGCTTAATCATGATGGCACCAGGATGCCACTCAACCGAATCCCCCCACAATTCCGGACCCACCCAAACTGCAAACCGAACAGGCATGTTTATTGTTGTTATAAGCCACCAAGTTTGGGCTAGCACCTTCAGAGGTCTACGACCTGGGGGATTTCACTGTGTGTCATTTGCAAAGCCCCAGACTTCCCTAGATTATGCGATTGTAACGTTTAGGATTTTCTGTCTCTATCTGCTACTTCATCTATTCCACAATTCTTCTTGAATACATGCTGTGGTAGTTATATAAT